AGTAAGGCACTTGTTACTAGAAGCGATGCACTTGTTCCTAGTAGCCTTCTTGTTCCTAGTAGCGATGCCCTTTGCTCCTAGTAGCGCCCTTGTTCCTAGTAGTAAGGCTTCTAGTAGCGATGCCAGGAGCCCTTGGTTGAACGTGTGGCCTTTTCTTTGTTTCTAGCAATGGCCTCCAACCTAGTAGCTTCTGGTTACTGGTAGTAAGGCCAGGAGCTACTGGTAGCGTCCTTGCTCCTAGTAGCGATGCCCTTTGTTACTAGTAGCTGCTAGCTTCTTTGCTTCTAATAGCCATGGCCTCCAACCTACCGATGGCCTCCTTGGGTTTGATTCTTCTTTTGGACCTCTAAAAGCCCTTGCACCTTCTTCCTATCCTATCCTATATGTTGATATTTGTTGTACCCTGACAAAAAGATGCAAAGGCTTCTTTTGGCTAAGGATTGAACGCTCACCCCTTCTGAAGCAAAAAGAACATGCCATGTTGAACACGCACCATTCATTTCTTAGTCTCAGTAGATTGATACTAGTACGTCGATGATATTTGGTGAACACTTGCGTGAATCGACCTTGCTGAAGGGGTTCATTTCTGGTCCTCTTTGGGCTGTGCACAGTTTTTGCTTCCTCACGGGTCTCCATTTTCGCCTGTTAGTTGGGTCCCCACCAGGATGCAATGAAAGCCAATCGGATCAGAGATTCTGCAATTTTTGTGGTGCTACATTTGACGCCTGGATGATCATTGTCTGGAATTAGCTGGCAATGCCAGGCATGCTTGAATTCTTGCTTCTTTAACTAAAGAATATTGCAATATTTTTCGGGGGAAGCGTGGGGGAAGGTAGAGTATGCCCAGAACAGTATCCCATGTAATAGGACACCCCCTCGCACATACCCTTTAGAGAGGTCGGAATTTTGATTCCTCTCTGGGAGTTCCTCCCTCCAAATGCCAGTAGATTCGTCTGAAGTAAATTACGTCACGCCGAAGGAATAAAACAGAACGAGTAGCAAGAAGCTATTAGGTTGGAGGCTATCGCTAGAACTGGACCTTTCTGTCCGGCCTCAGTGGGAGCTGCGGCATCCCCCGCCGCTGCAACAAGCCCCGCACACCCTGGAGAACCGCCATGGGTATTTGCGCCCAAGGCGCGAAGCAAAATAAGGAGAACTGGACCAGAGAAAAAGAGAAGTGACGTTCAAAGTAGTCTGTCTCCATGTTCATCTCTCTCTTTATGTTGCTTTAATTTTTGTGTCTTGTTCGTTGGGCATATCGGTTGGTTGATTTGGTGATATTGAGATGGAACAGCAACGTTGTGAAACTCCTTTCAGAAACTCCTTCTTTCCTTTTTCAACCAAAATGAAGGTGCACGAGGGCCTTAAAAACATGGTGCCCCTCCTCGTGACACCTGGTCTTTGACCAGTGTCACACGGAGCCCTTTGAAGCGCCGCCCAAGTTTAGGGCGGTTCAGCTCAGATGGGCACCCTGCGAATCGAGCTAACAAAAAAAACGGCAAACACCAAAAAGGCTAAGCCTTGGTTTCCCAAAAACGGCTACAAATTTGAAGCTGTGGATGAAAGAAGGCTTGAACCCTTTGCTAGGTTTGCTAGGTTCTTGGAAGAATTGCTTTCAGGACTCGGTTCTTGGATGGACCTCTTGTCACTAGTAGTGTCCTTGCTCCTAGTATTAAGGCCAGGAGCCCCGTTCGTAGCATCCTTGTTCCTAGTAGCTTCTGGCTCCTAGTAGCAATACCCTCAGAAAATTCAGCGTTTCAGAGCTGCTGAAATCGCAACCGTAGTTCTTCGTGAGTCGCACGATCGAGTCGCAGGGCCCGCCCAACTGGCCAACTGCTAGGGGCCAAAATTGATTGCTTTGAGCCTGAGTTGGAAGCGAAGCGGATTAGGTTGGAGGTCATCGCTACTAGCCGAAGGGCTTTGCGGAAGTTCCCGCTGCCTCCCTGGACCGTGGCCCAAAATGCAAGACTTGCATCTGGCCACAGCAAAGGAATTCTGTTGTTTTGAGGTGACTAAAGCGGTGACCTACCAGATTTCAAACGGATTCCATGTGCCATCATGTGGAAAATCATGTGCCAGTGAGTTGCCTAGGAACCCATTCTGAAAGCTATCGAATCAAACCTGAAGTGTCATTGGATAATTTCAGCTCTGAAGGTGTTTTTCTTTTTTGAACCGTTTGCTGCCCCACCAAGGTGCTAGTTAAAGCCTGCAAATGGAGGCCCGGGCTTTGTTTTGTTGCTTTTTCTCTTCTAAAGTGCCTAGTGGATTGTGTCACATCCACCTCAACGACTTGTATATAAAGCACAAAAATGGAAGGCACCTGAATTCCAACAAACCCTTTTCACAGAGCCTACCCACTTTCCGACCCATCCGCGAAATCACCCATCAAACAACGAACGAGGGCCCATGGGTAACTGTGCCCCGAATGTCAGGATTCCAAAGCGACTTAGTTTCGACCTGCTTCTAGTAACAAGTGCATCGCTTACTAGGAACAGGAAGCTATTAGGAACAAGTGCATCGCTACTAGTAACAGTAACAAGTGCTTTACTACTAGTAACAAGAAGCTATTAGGAACAAGTGCATCGCGTACTAGGAAGAGGAAGAAGCTAAGACCTCACATCGACATCACCCACTGTTTGGCCCATGAGTTACGCTTCACCCGCCGTCAGCGTCTCACCCTCCGTCGCATCACCCGCGCCCTCAGCGTCCGCGCCTGGCGTGGTCGGCCTTCGCCTCCATGCCACGCACCCGAGCTTCGCACGAGGCGATCTCTCCCTGCAGGCGCCGAGCGGCCTCGGCCTGGCGAGGTCGAAACGAACGAGGCCAAAGAGGCGAACAAGAGGACGCTACGAACGGGGGCTCCTGGCCTTATACTAGCAAGAATGCTACTAAGTTGAAGACCATTACTACTAATAGCAAGAAGCCTAGGTTGGAGGCCATCGCTAGTAGGGCGGAGGCCATCGCTAGGCTTTCTTCGAGAACAGTCGAATGGAGCCTTTCGTGAGAAAGCAACAGCCATGAGGAAGCCTTCAAGTGGAAGTGTTCGAGATGCTTTGGTCATCCAGCTTTGATTGCTTGGGGTCCAATAGGCCGTCTGTTCTTGATCGTTTTTGCTTGCTGCAGCCTTCATCTGCAATGCCTCTGCCAGTGCACGGCGCGCTTCCTGGCAATTTGGACGTTCTTGGGTGTCCGACCGTGCTAAAAGGCCAGCCGCTGAAGCAACAAACACAGCTCAAGTTGCATTTGTTCAAAAACCTGCAACACACACACACACACACGCGCGCGCGCGCGTGGCAACTGGTGCAGGATGTTCTCGAGGAAAGACTTGCTTTTTCATGAAACAAACACCACCTTGTATGCCCATCCTTCAGAATCCTTCACTCCTATTGAAGCCAGGCTCAGGGTATATTCTACTGCTACTCCCTTTTTATCATGTACTCCACAACCCAATCACTTGCCGATAAGTACCATGCAAGGCAAGCTGCATGAGGCAAACACGTATAGGATCGGCAGTGTCCAATACTGGGTTTACTTAACAAGCCTAAGCCTGCGATATGAACCTTGTGTTGAACTGTGTGGGCATCTGCCCTGCACAAAGTACGCTAACTGCTAACGATTTCGGCACACCATGCTACGCCTGCTCTTGCCGTGGGTCTACACGTGCGGCCCCGCTTTCCAAGCTGCGATTCAACAGATCTAGAATAAACGACCTATGACCACACCGCTTCGCTGCACTCCGAAGGCACCGTTTGCCTGCCTCGGACTGTTCAACTGCTGCGTGACAAGCAGCAGCTTCAGCCATACACCTGGAGGAGGATGGATTTGGCTCAAAATAGACAGACTGTTTGGGGCAACAACAGTTGCCGTGGAAGATTTTTGTGTACTGGCGCAACCTGGGATGAAACTTCATGGTGGGTTGCACGGTCCAAAAGCGCCGGCAAAACCCTTGGCGCCAAAGCACCTTCGTCAAGTGAGAAGGGATAGGAGGTCACAGAAGGATCCCCCAAGTGTTCCGCGTTTTGCCAATTTTTCCAGGCGTGTTCCATGGATGGATGTGATGTGGTGTTGAGCCGGATTGATGTTGTCAGGAGAAGATGGTCTGCAGATTGAGAGCCATCCAAAAGGTCTGGGCTCATGGAGCAACGAAAATTCTGCCAGGTGTGCATGCTGCTTGGGCATAAACTCATCTCAACGGAAATTCCAATGCGCAACTTTCTCACAAACAAAACACAATATAATATCATTCTTGCTCTCCAAACACTTCGCATGCAACACGTGGATTTTGAGAATCTTGGAGCGTTCACCTGGACCAAGCAGGTCACCCTCCGAATTCGCCTGGCGCGGCTGCTCTTCAGCTGTGCTTCGCGGCCGCCCTCCATCGCAGAGAGCTCCTGGCGGAGCGCAACAACGGCCCAGGAAACTAGCTGTGATCCAGGCACGAAGAGACAGGACATGACACGATTATGGGATACCACACTACCATACTTTTCCTTGTGAGGTGCTTTTTGTGGAACATCAAGCCTTGGCCGGTCTCGTCCTGCTGGAGCACTTTCAGCTGCTGGTCTCGTGTTCGCTTCCGCGTCTGCCAGGCGTAGAGCTCAGCCTTGGACAAGGCCAACGCACGAGTCTCGCTGTGCAGCTCCGAGAGAAGCTGGTCGGTGTCCATGTACTCCTGGCAGGTGGTCGGTGACCACGGTCGATTGGTCTATGTGGCTTTTGGTCATTCCTTCTTTGGCTCACTCTTTTGACCTTTGTGGATTCTGTCGTGTTTTCCTTGTACGCAAGGTTGTTTGTTTTTTGTCCGGATCATAAGACTGGAGGCGAGGTGAAGAATAAAGCATTCTTGCGGACTTGCCTAATATGCAAGCATACTGCATGCTGTAAACATTTGGTTGCCATGAAGTCTTTGGCTAGTAGTTTCCTCTCAGTCGCAAATAATTCGGGCACTGGCAAAGAGTCAATTTTGTGCCTGGAGCACTCCGTGCTGTCCGCTGAATGCACTCGCTTGTTGTGCTTGGCGACAAAAGGCCCCAACACCGCTGAAGCCCAATTGCACTCTGAATCAACAATGTTTTTTTCTTCTAGACAGTTGTGAATTCTACCCTCGATTCTTTTCCTATGACTTTGTGTTGCCCATCTACCCAACCTACCAACCGTTGAAGCCTGAGCTCCCCTTGCATGAGGCGGCAAGCACCTTATGACCACAAGCCCTAGAGTCCTGCCTCCTCCTTGTTGCGGCGACGCTCTGCACTGTATGGCATCCGCATGCCCTTTATATCACCTAAGACTCACTGCCTCCTGCCACTCGTCGCACCACTCCGGCACGTGTTTCATGCACCCATCTGTGCTCCACTGGATGATCTGCAACTGCACAAAGCCGTGGCCAGCCCACGCGTGAATTGCGATTCGGCACAATTTTCTTGGATGACAACGCACTCAGCGTGCTGGCATTGGCACTCCGCAGTTACAACGGCTCAAACAGCAGTGCCTGGACACGCCCTCTCCTGTTTGAGAATTCGTCGGCGGTCTTTGAACCACAAGGCGACAAGGTTCAGAAGGGCGTCATTGCCCGAGCGCTCTGACTTTGCTCACGGTCTCCTTCATCAGCCGCAAAAAACTCAGAGGCGCAAAGCCTTTTGAGGTTACCAATAGCAATGATGGCCTCCAACCCAATAGAGATGGCCTCCAACCTAATGGCGATGGCCTCCAACCTAGTAGCGGTTCTTCTCTGACTTGAATCTTTGATGACGTTGCCGACTGGTGCTGGATGTCGAAGGACTCGCGCAACGTCGTCCGGGAGGCAGGATTTGGCACGCGGAATCACATTGAATGTCTGGTGCGAAATTTGGCACCGTTGTTGGCGAAGGCACTTTGAACGTGGGCCGTGAAGCACTCAGGATGGCACGATCGATCAGGCACCTGTCTATGCATGACCTTGGCAAAGGAAGCGTTCAATCGATCAAGCACCGTCCTCGGCTTGAATCGTTCACGTCTGATGTACATCGGAAACCTGTCCACCAACCTCTCGATAGGCCCAAAGGATCCTGTGAGGGTGCATCAGCAAGGGCATCTGATTCAGCTTCTCGTCTTACCACACTGCTGTCACCCAGCTACATAGGTGGAGTGAACTCTATGTTCGTGTGCGGTGAGTGTGCTCCCTCTAGATCCTGTTCGTGCC